AAACCAAAATGATCAAAAATCGATTTTTAACAATTCTGTGTGTCCTGCGCATCCCGATGTCTCCTACCTGAACAGTCGACGCAATCTCTGCTCCGAATCCAGACGAAATGGGTGCTTCGTGGGTGACGATGAGGCGTCCAGTCTTTTGGACACTCTGCAAAATTAAAATTGGCTCAAAATTTGAGAATTTCGAGCCTTTGCTCAATTTTCGGCACCAATTTCAGCGCCAAAATCGCTGAAAATCGTAGTTCATACCTCCACAACATGATCCTCGTCCCACGGTTGAATCGTCTGCAAATCGATCACCTCCACATCGGCGCTCAACTTGTCTTTTGCCATTTGAGCCGCTTCGAGTGCCACGTGCACTTGGGTTCCCCATGCGACCAGTGTCAAATCGTTTCCAGTGCGTACGGTTTCAGCCTGTCCCAATGGAATCGTGTAGTCCCCAGTCGGCACGTCTTCAGCCGCCAGGCGATACAGGATTTTTGGCTCGAAGAAGATGCATGGGTTCGGGTCGCGGATGCACGAGAGCAGCAGTCCTTTCGCTTGGATTGGGCCACGTGGCACGACGAGCTGGAAATCAGGGATTTTAGGCATATTCATGGCCCGTTTTTGGCCTATTTTCGGCCTATTTTCCGATCTATTTTCGGCCTTATTTTTTAGTCCATTTTCCGTTTATTTTTGCCTAATTTTTTAGTCGATTTCAGGCCTATTTTCAGCCTATTTTTGTCAAACTTTCAGTCTATTTCTGGCCTTATTTCCTGTCGTTTTTTGTCTAGATTCGGCCTACTTTCAGCTTATTTTTTTCGCCTACTTTTTTTGCACTATTTTTGGCCCAATTTCGGACATATTACAGGCTCATTTTTCGGCCTATTTTTGGCCTGAATTCCATTTATACTTGGGCCATTTTTCGATCTATTTCTGGCTCGTTTTTAATCAAAATTTGGCTTGTTTTTGGCCTATTTTCAGCCTATTTTCTGGCATATTTCAAACCTACTTTGCGCATAATTTTTGGCATATTTTTGCCTTATTTTCGGGCCATTTATTGTCGATTTTTAGATTTTTACTTCAATTTTCGAGGGGATTACTGTCATTTTCGATTGCTCACCTTCAATCCAGGCGTATGCGTGAAATTGGCTTCTGGACTCTGCGAATGATAGAGTGCACCGTGTCCGACGGCACCCCACGTCGTTCGGACCGTCAGTTTTCCACAATCGAACTGGTTTCCGGATCGGTAGCGAAATTTGGCGGCCTCGTTGACGAGCTGCAAAATTGGGAAAAATTGAATTTCGCGGGAAGGATTACTGTAGTTGGAAACGGGGTTTTCTATAGATATCTAGACTATGGGTTACTGTAGAAGACTACTGTATGTGGGATATTTCATCGGGTTCAGGAGATTACTGTAGGGGGGTTACTGTAGGGGGATTACTGTAGTTTTGAAATTACACGAAATTCGTCAGAAACATACTGTAGTTCAGATGTAGACACTGTAGTTACTTCAGGCGAAATCAACGATAGCTTTTTTGAGATTACTGTAGTTTTCTTGGAAAAAAATTTGAAAAATCCGAAAAATTGATGTTTTTAAACGAATTTCAGCCAATTTTAGGTTGATAAACGTCATTTTTAAGCCAATTTTCGACTATTTATAGACAGCAACATCAATTTCCAACCAATTTCAGTCACATTTTAGGATGAAAACAGTCGATTCTAATGATTTTTGAATAGTTTAAGCTCGAAAAATGCTCCTTTCGGGTCAATTTTCGCTGCTACCAAGACATTTTTTACCTGATCATAAGCGGGGAAAATGTAGTCTCCAAACTGAATCTCGGCGATCGCCGTTGCTCCAGCGGCAGCCACTCCGATACCGAAACCAGCGATTCCTTTCTAGATGACTTGGATAACGCACCAGGGTCATGTTAAGTCATTTTTATGCCATTTTGAAGCGGTGGCCTAGANAACCAAACTTGCAAAAGTTAGGCCACCACTTCAAGAAGACCTGGAAAACACACCAGGGTCATGTTAGGGCATTTTGAAGTGGTGGCCTAGCTTGCAAATGTTAGCCCACCTAGTCAAAATGACGAAAAAAGCGAGAAAACAATGTCAGCAATCTATCTTATCACTCTCTGAAAATTGCCTTATCTAATCTTATCACTTTTGTTGTTTCAGAAACGCTGCTTCCTGAATCTGGAATCACCAATCGAGCGTGTCGCCGGATTCGACACTCCATTCCCGCATGTTCATAGCCATTCTATCTTCCAACCGTTCATCGTGTCTTTGATGCTATCAAGAAGAGTGTTAACTATTAGAAAACCCCGCCTATTTTATTCAAAAATTTGAATTTCCCGCCCTTTTTACCCCATTTTTGTAGGTAACGAATAAAAGTTGAGAATTCGTGTAGAATTATTTCCTTTTTTAAATCCTTCTTTTTTCTCAAATTTTTTTATAGATGGTGCCATTTCTGCTGCATTTTATAAGACATGTTTAGATTTGGAAATTTTGATTTTTCAGATTTTTCAGAAAAATCGATTTTCCTTTTTGTGTAACACATTCCCTTTATTTTTTAGGCCCCGCCCCTTATGTTCTATAATTGCTCATCGTGTGAATTTTAGAGATTTTTATGAAATGTTTTTTGTAAAAATTCCCAATTTTCTCACTTTTTGGTTAAATTCTGAAATATTTCTTCTGAATTTTTTGCTGAATTTAGGCTTTTTTCCAGGTTGGGACGAGGAGAAAAGTATCGGAGAGAAAAGGTAAAAATTCAAAAAAAAATCTTTTAAAATGCAAATTTTTCGAAAAAAAAATGTAGCATTTTTTGAAATTTTTTCTCACTTTTTCTTCGAAAAAAAGCTAAATTTTCAGCTTTTTGAATCGAAAAATCTCCGAAATTTCAATATTTTAATCCAAAAATGAACCACTACTTGGCAGCCGTTCTAATCATCGCCGTCTCGATTGGCTCGATTCTTCCCGCTTCCCAGTGCTCATTCTTCTTCAAAACTATTTTCCCGAGCTTCCCGATCTCTACACCATCGACTCTCTTGTGATTTATCTCGTTCAGGTCTTTGTTTTTTCGCGAAAAATTTGAAAAATCTAGAATTTTCTTTGTTTCAGGCCAGTATCATCATGTTTCTCGGCTTCATTTCTATGTGCATCTACTCGGACATCGCCTGTCCGCTTGCCATCAAGGGATACGTCGCCATTTTCTCGAGAATGTGAATTTCGCCGATAATTTTGTTGTTTTACCCGCTTTTTTTTTGTAAATATTGTAGAATTTGAATTTGCCTCCATTTTTATGTATATTTTGACCGAAAATTCGGCGAACAACGAGCTGAAATCACCTAAAATTGATGGAAAATAAAAGATTTTATTGAGCCGCAACGCGCACGCGACGCACCCGACGGCACACAAACAAGTGATTTGACATGTGCAACGCATCAAAATGACCCGTTTTTCGAGCAAATAAACGGTTTTTTCGCTCGGAAAAAGTTTGGAAAAAGGTTTTAAGAATTTTTGTGATTTTCAGGGTAATTCTGGCAGCGAAATGGCACGAGAAGGGACCAGATATATGGTCCGGAATGGGTGCGTTTTTGGTTTTTTTAAAAGATAAATTGGAAAAAAATCTTTAAAAATGCGAATTTTTCGAGTAGAAAATAGGTTTTTTAAAGAAAAAATATATAAAATTTTAAAAAATTGGCAATGGAGCGAAGTTTGCAATTTGAAAAAATTTGAAAAAAAAGAAATCAAAAACTTAATTTCTAAAAATTCGAAAATCTGGAATTTCAGGTTTTCTAAAAAATTCGAAAAATAAAAAAAAACCAAAAATTTGATAATTCAAAAATTAGAGAAAAAAAATTATCTGAAAATTGTGGAAATTCTGAAAATTCAAAAAATTGATTTTTTGAAAAAATTCTAAAATTTCAGCTACATTCTTCTGGAAGATCTAGAATCCTGGTATGCTTCTGGATTCGTCACTCCAGACGACACCGTTCGCATTTTCAATTCTAACGGCGATTCGAAAGCATTCAAAATTAGTAAGAGAGTCCAATAGAGCGCGTTTTCTTCAAATTCAATTTTTTTCAGGTTCCCTAATTTTTCTCTACGGAAGTGAGCATCCATTTCGACGTGCTTCAAAACTTCTGGATTCTGATTATTCGTCGTCGGATTCTGATGAAGAAAGGGCGGGGCCGTCTACAGTACCACCCCCGAAAAAAGTGGGCGGAGCTTTTGAAGCAAAAAGAAATGACACTGAAAAAGAGCAAAAAAGCGTCCCCCAAAAAGTGGGCGGAGCTTTTGGAGTCAGAAAAGTGTCGACTCCGCCCACATCTGAGAAGAAGCCAGAAGAAGTTTTGGAAAAAGTGGGCGGAGCTTGTGAAAAAGAAGTTGATCATGATATTGAATTAGGAGGCGAGGACATCCGGACCCAGAGACACACAGAAACTGAAAAATTGATGATTGGAAGTAAGAAAACTACAGTAGTCCCCAAAAAATGTTTTCTATTTTTTTCATAATTTTTGGAATGTCTGAAATTCAAAAATCATAAATACAGACTCTGAATTTCTAATTTTTCTCAGCTTTCAATTTTTTTTCATTTTTCCAAATCTCTGAATATCAGAATCACAGAATCTCAGATTCTCAAAATTCTCAAGTTCTCAAAGTTCCAGAATCTGAGAATTCCTGTATCCCAAAATCTCGGAATTTCAGGAAACAATCCTTGTGTGGCACTAATGGATCCGCCACTCACCACGGATCGTTTGGAGATGATTGGAAGTAGGGAAACTACAGTAACCACAACAATCCTGCGAATCTTACTAAATTTCAGAAGACGAATTGCAAGATTTCTATAGAGACATAAAGCACAAATTGACGGTTGTTGGAATAAAAACTGCAAATTCTAAATTCGCGAATTGGAAATGCGGTTACTGTAGTTCGGAGAAGAATACGGTAGTTTGTAACACACAACTCGATGCTTTCAATCATGTCTTGAATAACAAACATAAGGAAAATGTAAGATTTGAAAGCTTTGAAAACAAAACAAAAACGGATTCAGGGATTCCAAGAAACTGTGAAATTTCATATTTTAAATATTCTTTGCAGATGCAATTCACCGCTCCTGAATCGGACTTAAAATTTTGGAATGATTGGATCGATGAAATGAATTTGGGAGCTCCAGAAGATTCGATTCGTTATAATGATTATCCATTGTTCAATGCTGATAATGAACCCGAAGAGGATCGAATTACAGGTAAAGAAGAGGACATCTGGACACACAAACACACATAAATTTTAATTTTTCTAATTTCAAAAACTTTATTTCAAAAAAAAAGCTTGAGTTTCTGAATTCCTAAGTTTCCGAATTTTTGAATTTCTGAATTTCCGATTTTTTGAATTTCTGAATTTCTGAATTTCTGAACTTCCGAATTTCTAAAGGTCTGAATTTCTGAACTTCTGAACTTCCGAATTTTTAAATTTCCGAATTTTTGAATTTCTGAACTTCCGAATTTCTGAATTTCTGAACTTCCGAATTTCTAAAGGTCTGAATTTCTGAACTTCTGAACTTCCGAATTTCTAAATTTCCGAATTTTGGAATTTCTGAATTTCTGAATTTCTGAATTTCTGAATTTCTGAATTTCTGAATTTCTGAACTTCTGAACTTCCGAATTTCTAAATTTCCGAATTTTTGAATTTCTGAATTTCTGAATTTCTGAACTTACGAATTTCTAAAGGTCTGAATTTCTGAACTTCCGAACTTCCGAATTTCTAAATTTCCGAATTTTTGAATTTCCGAATTTTTGAATTTCTGAATTTCTGAACTTCCGAATTTCTAAAGGTCTGAATTTCTGAACTTCCGAACTTCCGAATTTCTAAATTTCCGAATTTTTGAATTTCCGAATTTTTGAATTTCTGAATTTCTGAATTTCTGAACTTACGAATTTCTAAAGGTCTGAATTTCTGAACTTCCGAACTTCCGAATTTCTAAATTTCCGAATTTTTGAATTTCCGAATTTTTGAATTTCTGAATTTCTGAACTTCCGAATTTCTAAAGGTCTGAATTTCTGAACTTCCGAACTTCCGAATTTCTAAATTTCCGAATTTTTGAATTTCCGAATTTCCGAATTTCTGAATTTCTGAACTTCCGAATTTCTAAAGGTCTGAATTTCTGAACTTCTGAACTTCCGATTTCTAAATTTCCGAATTTTTGAATTTCTGAATTTCTGAATTTCTGAACTTACGAATTTCTAAAGGTCTGAATTTCTGAACTTCTGAACTTCCGAATTTCTAAATTTCCGAATTTTTGAATTTCCGAATTTTTGAATTTCTGAATTTCTGAACTTCCGAATTTCTAAAGGTCTGAATTTCTGAACTTCCGAACTTCCGAATTTCTAAATTTCCGAATTTTTGAATTTCCGAATTTCCGAATTTCTGAATTTCTGAACTTCCGAATTTCTAAAGGTCTGAATTTCTGAACTTCTGAACTTCCGAATTTCTAAATTTCCGAATTTTTGAATTTCTGAATTTCTGAATTTCTGAACTTACGAATTTCTAAAGGTCTGAATTTCTGAACTTCCGAACTTCCGAATTTCTAAATTTCCGAATTTTTGAATTTCCGAATTTTTGAATTTCTGAATTTCTGAATTTCTGAACTTACGAATTTCTAAAGGTCTGAATTTCTGAACTTCCGAACTTCCGAATTTCTAAATTTCCGAATTTTTGAATTTCTGAACTTCCGAATTTCCGAATTTCTGAATTTCTGAACTTCCGAATTTCTAAAGGTCTGAATTTCTGAACTTCCGAACTTCCGAATTTCTAAATTTCCGAATTTTTGAATTTCTGAACTTCCGAATTTCCGAATTTCTGAACTTCTGAACTTCCGAATTTCTAAATTTCCGAATTTTTGAATTTCTGAATTTCTGAATTTCTGAATTTCTGAACTTCCGAATTTCTAAAGGTCTGAATTTCTGAACTTCTGAACTTCCGAATTTCTAAATTTCCGAATTTTTGAATTTCTGAATTTCCGAATTTCTGAACTTACGAATTTCTAAAGGTCTGAATTTCTGAACTTCTGAACTTCCGAATTTCTAAATTTCCGAATTTTTGAATTTCTGAATTTCCGAATTTCCGAATTTCCGAATTTCTGAATTTCTGAACTTCCGAATTTCTAAAGGTCTGAATTTCTGAACTTCTGAACTTCCGAATTTCTAAATTTCCGAATTTTTGAATTTCTGAATTTCTGAATTTCTGAACTTACGAATTTCTAAAGGTCTGAATTTCTGAACTTCTGAACTTCCGAATTTCTAAATTTCCGAATTTTTGAATTTCTGAATTTCTGAATTTCTGAACTTACGAATTTCTAAAGGTCTGAATTTCTGAACTTCCGAACTTCCGAATTTCTAAATTTCCGAATTTTTGAATTTCTGAATTTCCGAATTTCCGAATTTCTGAATTTCTGAACTTCCGAATTTCTAAAGGTCTGAATTTCTGAACTTCTGAACTTCCGAATTTCTAAATTTCCGAATTTTTGAATTTCTGAATTTCTGAATTTCTGAACTTCCGAATTTCTAAAGGTCTGAATTTCTGAACTTCTGAACTTCCGAATTTCTAAATTTCCGAATTTTTGAATTTCTGAATTTCTGAATTTCTGAACTTACGAATTTCTAAAGGTCTGAATTTCTGAACTTCCGAACTTCCGAATTTCTAAATTTCCGAATTTTTGAATTTCTGAATTTCCGAATTTCCGAATTTCTGAATTTCTGAACTTCCGAATTTCTAAAGGTCTGAATTTCTGAACTTCTGAACTTCCGAATTTCTAAATTTCCGAATTTTTGAATTTCTGAATTTCTGAATTTCTGAACTTACGAATTTCTAAAGGTCTGAATTTCTGAACTTCCGAACTTCCGAATTTCTAAATTTCCGAATTTTTGAATTTCTGAACTTCCGAATTTCCGAATTTCTGAATTTCTGAACTTCCGAATTTCTAAAGGTCTGAATTTCTGAACTTCTGAACTTCCGAATTTCTAAATTTCCGAATTTCTAAATTTCCGAATTTTTGAATTTCTGAACTTCCGAATTTCCGAATTTCTGAATTTCTGAACTTACGAATTTCTAAAGGTCTGAATTTCTGAACTTCTGAACTTCCGAATTTCTAAATTTCCGAATTTTTGAATTTCTGAATTTCCGAATTTCTGAATTTCTGAATTTTCGAATTTTTGAATTTCTGAACTTCGAATTTCTGAATTTCTGAACTTACGAATTTCTGAATTTCCGAATTTTTGAATTTCTGAATTTCCGAATTTCTGAAGGTCTGAATTTCTGAATTTCTGAACTTCCGAATTTTTGAATTTCTGAATTTCTGAATTTCCGAATTTCTGAAGGTCTGAATTTCTGAATTTCTGAACTTCCGAATTCCTGAATTTCCGAATTTCTGATTTTCTGAATTTCTGAACTTCCGAATTTCTAATTTCCGAATTTTCAAATGTCTAAATGAACGTTTCGAATTTACGAAATACCGTAAAACCTGTATTAGAAGGGCCGGCCCTTCTACTTTTCCAAGGTACCCCCCGGAGAGCTCTTCTATTGCAGGGGCCCTTCAATTAGAGGGGGCCCTTCTATTGTTCCAAGTTACCTCCGGAGGGCCCTTCTATTAGAGAAGCCCTTCTATTAAAGGGACCCTTCTAATACAGGTTTTGCGGTATCAAAAAAAATCTGAATTTCTAAAGAATCACTAAAATTGTGTTTTTTTTAATTCTCGATTTTCAAGATACCGAAAATTCACTTTTCAAACTCTTAATCCATCAATTTCTTAGATTTTTTTCCTGTGCTTTTTCATATGTTCAAAATACCTTAAAACCTGTAATAGAGGAGACCCCTAACCTTATAACTTTGAGCTCAACTATCTCATTTCCTGCGAAAGATATCAAAAAGTGGTCAACTGATAAAACATTTGTGATAATGTCAAGAATATGTCCCTTACAGTAACCGAGATATTTGAACTCAAAATTGACTGTGCGGGGGGGGGGCACTTCTATTACAGGTATATCAAAAATATTTCTATTAATTTTCGAATCCCCCAATTTTTGCAGGTCAAAAAGTTATCGATGAAATGAATAGGCTGAAATCCCTATTCGCACGTTTAAAATGTGCGGGCAAACCGGACCAATGGTTCAATTCAGTTTATCCAGTCAAAGAAGTAGGTGGTCTTTTTTTGTTGTTGTTCAAAAATCTTCAAACGTATTTGTTTCAGTCAATTTGTCGTATGTGCAATTTCGCACCATTCTCACCGAAACTCTTCTATGTTCATCTGTTCTATGATAATCATATTGCTCAGCTGGCGAAATGTCAAATTTCAAAAAAGTCGTTTGAATTTTGGGAACAAAAATTTTTGAATATGAAAGAACTAAAGGATGAGGAGGAGAAGACGGAGGAGGAGAAAAAGGGCAATACGAAGGAAACAAAGAAATTCGATATTAGAAAAGAATCGGCGAAATTCGGAAACTTTTCGGAAGGATTGAATATGGGGGATAGAAAATGGGGTGAGGGATAATGGGGGTTACTGTACCTGCACATCTAACTTTTTTCAGAAAATCCTGGAATTCCACTATTGGATCCGCCAATTAAGCTTGTTGCCAAACTTCAACGTATGTGATTTGTTTTTTTTTTTGGATTTTTAGAATTTCTGGATTTTTGATATGAATTTCCCCAATTTCGAAAATTTCCCAAAATTCTGAATTTTCAGAATCTTCAAAATTTGCTGAATCTTGGAATTCCCGAATTTTTCAATTTCTCACTTTTTAAACTTTCGAATTTTCGAAATTTGGGATATCACACCCTTAGAATTTCTGGAATTTCAAATTTCTAGGTTTTTGATATTTTGGATTTTCCGAATTTCTGAAATTCCCGGAAATTCTGGATTTTTAGAATTTTCGAAGTTTGCTGAATCTTTCAATTTTAGAATTTTCGAATTTCAGAATTTTCGAATTTCCGAATTTCTGGGTTTTCGATATTTTCCGAATTTCCAGAATTCTCGGAAAACCTGTGTTTTTGAAATTTGCTGAATCTGTATTTTACAATTCCTGTTTTTTTTTATTTTCGACTTTTTTTTTGGATATTTCGAATTTTCAAATTTTCGAATGTTTGAAATCTTGAAATTGCGAATTTCCGAATTTCCGACTTTTCGAATTTCCAGAATTCCGTTTTGAATTTTGGGTTTTTCGAATTTTAAGAATTTCGAAAAACTTGAGTTTTCAAATTTCAGAGGTTTTGGATTTTTCGAAAATCTCAAGGATTCAAAATTTTCATATTCTTTTGAAAATTCTGAATTTCTGAAACTTCAATTTCTCGGAAAATCAAAATTCTCAAGTTTTTCGAAAAATTCATTTTTCTTAGATTTTCAGATTTTTTATTTCAGAAGACCAATTCATCCGATACTACAGAAGTCTATCCAAAGCGATGACAAATCCAGCCAGCCGTCGGATTGCTCAGCTTAGAAAAGTCAATTGGAAATGTGGTTACTGTAGTTCTAATAGGACTACTGTATCGTTTTTCACAGAATTGGAAGCGTTCGATCACATTTTGGGACAGAAGCATAAGGAGAAAGTGAGCGATTTTGAAATTTAATTTTTTTTCTTGAAAATTCAAAAAACCAATTTTTTAAACGATTTTCTGAATTTTTTTTCGAATTTCATATTTTCAATTTTTTCGAAAATTCAAATTTTCTGAAATTTTCAGATGAAATTCACTGCTCCACTGGATGATTTATTGTTTTGGGGAAATTGGGCGGTTGAAATCAATAATGAATTAGCAGCGAAAGAAGAAGAGGAGCAGAAGAAGCTTCCAGAAGATCCAACGTCTTCTGGAAGTTCTCAGAATCCCATAACGACGTCATCTGCTGTCACGAATTCATCTGTATTATCTTCGAATTTCAGTTAGTTAAATTTTTTGAAAAATCTGAAAATCCTGAAAAAAAAATCCCAATTTTCGGAATCTCAGAAGACCTACATTCTGAAATTCTGAAAATTTCAAAATTTCAGGAAACAATCCACGTGTCGCTCTAATGGATCCACCAATCACCACGGATCGCTTCCAGATGTGTAGACGTAAGAAAACTACAGTAACCCCCATACCTGCACATCTAACTAAAAAATTTCCAGAAAACAAATTCGTGCACTTCTGTAATGAGCTATCGGCTAGCTTGACTGAACTTGGAATAAAAACTGCAAATTCTAAATTCGCGAATTGGAAATGTGGTTACTGTAGTTCGGAAATGGATACGGTAGTTTGTAATACACAATTCGACGCTTTCAACCATGTTTTGAAACAGAAACATAAGGAAAAAGTGAGGAATTTGGAAATTTGATATTTTCCAAAAAATGGGGTTTTCGAATTTTTGAAGAATTCAAGAAACAATTTTTTTAAAAAAATCTGAATTTCGACGAATTCTGAATTTCTGAAGTTCTGGAATTCTGAAAATTTGAAAACTTGAAATTCTGAGATTCTGAAATTCTGAAATTTTTTAAATTCTGAAATTTAGAAATAATGAATATTTGGAATTCAGAAAATCTGGAAATTTGAAACCCTAAAAATTTTGGAATTCCGTATTCTCCAAATTCTGAAATTCTGAAACTTGAAAATTCAAAAGTTCTGAGATCCTGGAATTTAAAACAACAGGAATTCTGAAATTTAGGAATCCTGAAAGTTTGAAAACTCGAAATTCTGGAATTCTAGAATTCTGAAATTTTGAAATTCAGAAATTCAGAAGTCCAGAATTTCTAATATCCTGAAATAATGAATATCTGAAATTCAGAAAATCTGGAAATTTGAAAACTTGAAATTCTGGAATTCTAGAATTCTGAATTCCGCGAATTCTGGAATTCTGAAACTCGGAAATTCAAAAGTTTTGAGATTTTGAAGTTTGGAAAAACAGGAATTCTGAAATTCAGAAATTTTGAAAACTTGAAATTCTGGAATTCTAGAATTCAGAAATTCAGAAATTTTGAAAAATTTGAAAACTTGAGATTCTGGAATTCTGAAAATTTGAAATTTCCGAATTTTTGAGAATAATTCTCAAAACTCAAAAATTAGAAATTCAATTTTCAGATGAAATTCACCGCTCCCGAATTGGACTTCAAATTCTGGTGTGATTGGGTGGATGAGATGAATTCGGGTGCTTCTGAATCGACGTCTACAGTAATCCAAAATCTTCCAGAACTGCAAAAATCCAAGTCATCGGAGCGTCAAAAAGTTGCCGCAATTCCAGAAAGTTCCAGTGAGATTTTTTAGTTTTCGAAATACCGTAAAACCTGTAATAGAAGGTCTCCCACACTGTCAAGTTTAAGCTCAATATCTCGGTTCCTATAAGAGATATCAAAAATGTGTCAACTGATAAAATGTCTAGGATATTATGATAAACAATTTATCAGTTGACCATTTTTTTATATCTTTATCAGGAACCAAAATAAATTGGCTCAGAATTAAAAATTAGGGGGCCCTTCTATTACAGGTTTTGACGGTAACTGAATTTTTGAATTTCAATTTTTCTAATTTGAAATTTTCAGACGAACCACGAGTTCCATTACTTGCTCCAATGCCGAAAAATGAGAATACGGTTCCCAGTAAGTTAGAAAAATTCTAGAATTTCTTCTAAAATTTAAATTTAAAAATTGAAAATTTAAATTTCAGAAAAGCAATTCAACGAAATGCTTGACGAGTGTGCAAAAATGTTCCAAACACACAAAAAACGATTGTCTGCCGCCAAGAATGTTGTAAGTGAATGAGTCTACAGTAGTCCTGGAAAATACAGTAATCCTAATCAGTACAGTAATCCTAATAACTACAGTTATCCCAATAACTACAGTAAACCAATAACTACAGTAATCCCAATAACTACAGTAATCCCAATAACAAAATTGGTCCCAATAACGACAGTAATGCTGATTACTACAGTAATCCGTATGACTACAATAATCCTGATAACTACAGTAATCTTAATGACTACAATAATCCTGATAACTACAGTAATCTTAATAACTACAGTAATCCCAATAACGACAGTAATCCTGATTACTACAGTAATCTTAATGACTACAATAATCCTGATAACTACAGTAATCCCAATAACAAAATTGGTCCCAATAACGACAGTAATCCGTATGACTACAGTAATCCCAATAACTACAGTAATCCTAATAACTACAGTCATCCCAATAACTACAGTAATCCCAATAACTACAGTAATTCTAATAACTAAAGTGGTCCCAATAACGACAGTAATCCGTATGACTACAATAATCCTGATAACTAGAGTAATCTTAATAACTACAGTAATCCTTATAACTACCGTAATCCCAATAACAAAATTGGTCCCAATAACGACAGTAATCCGTATGACTACAGTAATCCCAATAACTACAGTAATCCTAATAACTACAGTCATCCCAATAACTACAGTAATCCCAATAACTACAGTAATTCTAATAACTAAAGTGGTCCCAATAACGACAGTAATCCGTATGACTACAATAATCCTGATAACTAGAGTAATCTTAATAACTACAGTAATCCTTATAACTACCGTAATCCTAATAACTACAGTAATCGTAAAACAATATTTTCAGCCAGCATTTGTTGCCTGTACGTACTGTAGCAAACCAGATGCGAAACCATTGGCACCCAGCAATGTGCAGGATCAATTATTGCACATTTTGAAATTGACACATCGGGAGAATGTGAGCAATATTGAAGTTTTTGGAAAATTTCAAAAATTTTTAGTTTTGAGATTCTTGAATTTTTCAAATTATCAAATTTCGGAATTTTCAATTTTGGGATCTTTCTGATTTTTAAGAATTTTTAGGATTTTCATTTTCAGAACTTGTAATTATCGAATTTTTCGGATTTCTAAAATTTTCTATTTTTTTGAATTTTAAAAAGTTTTCTGAAATTTTTCGAATATCGAATTTCTGCCTGTTTCCAGATGCAATACAAAGCTTGTCTCTCGGATCTACAGTATTGGAAATCGTGGGTTGAAACTTATGGAATTCCAAAGAATGTCCTCGAATCCCGAAAATCGCCGTCTACAGTACCCGCAAAACGTAAGTTGTGGACATCTGGACAGACAGACAACCCGGAATATTTTTTTGCAGCGAAGCCTGGAATTGAAAACAATGAGCCATTCAAGAAGAGTTCCAGTAAGTTTTACTGAAATTTTTTCAAAAATCAAAACTAAAAGATTTCCAAAAATCTGAAAAAATTTTCAGATAATCCTAGAGTCCCGCTTTTGGATGTTCCAGTGCATCGTGGAAAACTCCTGAAGCGTAAGTTGAAACTCAAAATTCAAACTGCAAAACTTCGTTGTTCAGTGGAGCGCTGGTTGCCATAAAACGATTTTTTTTTTTCAAATTTCGATTTTCTCGATAAACCAAAATTTTGCGGAAAATCGATTTTCAAAGAAATGCTTGAGCAATCGCGCTCCACTGAAAGAAAAATTGTCAATAGAGCGCGTTTTGCAGAGAGCAAATACAAAGAGTATTGTGAGTACTTTTGTAAGGTGCTGAAAGAGAAACAGTCGTGTGCTGAAACGGAAAAATCGATAAAATGCATCTGTTTTCATTGTCCTGGAGATACACGGATCACGACGGTTATGGAACTGTTACAGCATGTTTTCAATAGCAAACATGCTGAAAATGTAAGAAATTTTGTTTTGGAAAATTTTGAATTTCTTTTTTCTGAATTTTCGAATTTCCGAATTTCTGAATTTCGGAGTTCCAGAATTTCCCGAATTCTAGAATTTGCAAGTTTCATATCTCCGAACTTCTGAATTTGTGAATTTTTTAACCTCTGAATTCTGACTTCTGAATTTCTGATTTTACGAATTTCTGATTTTCTGAATCTCGAATTTTCTGAATTTTCGAATTGCAAATTTGCTGAAAAAAACTGAATTTCCCGAAATCCGAATTTTTGAATTTTGGAATTTCCGGATTTTTGAATTTCTGGATTTTCGAATTTCTGATTTTCTGTATTTTCTAATTTTGCGGTTCTTTGAATATCAAAATTTTCGAAATTCCGAATTCGAATTTTTGAATTTTTGAATTTTTGAATTTTCGAATTTTTGAACTTCCGAATTTTCGAATATCAGAATTTCCGGATTTTTGAATTCTCAGAATTTTAATTTTTCAGATCCGATTCCTTGCCAACAGAGAAGACTTCACATATCACGAAGACATCATCCGGAAAATGCCACGCATTCAAACACCAGCAGCAGTTAGTCGAACTCGTTAGTTGTCTATTTTTTATTGTTGATAAATCCTTTTTTTGGTTTTAAATAATTTTGGATTACTGTACTTCCGAAAAATCTCATCCGAACTAACCTATAATAGAAAGGCTTCCAACTTCGACCCCAATTATCTCGACTCCTATAAGAGATATCAAAAAGTGGTTGACTGATAAAAGTTTGGTGATATTATGATAACAATTCTATCAGTTAACCATTTTTTGATATCTTTGACAGGAGCCAAGAAAAATTGGCTCCAAGAATTTTAAATGTTCAGCTGCCATTAGAACCTACAGTACCTTCCAAAATCTGTTTTCTTTTAGGATCAACATATTTGAGTCAATTGAATTTGATATGATAGAAAAACTCAAGAACTACAAATTTGGACTACTGTATCCAGTCTATTTGGACTACTGTACCCAGTCTATGAACAGAGTTACAAGCCATAAATCGTCTGAGCTACGCGCCCACAGTTTTACGGCTTGTAACTTCGTTCACAGACCAGCTACAGTATTCAAAATACTGACATTTAGTAGCTCTTAAATTTTCCTATCAAATTCAAGGTGATCAAAAAATATTGATAAATTAAATATAGATAAATTTTTGACTTTCAGCTGCCTATGTTGTAAGACCGGATTACACACAAGGTGGACAGCGAATACTAAATTGTGAGTTTCTAAGAAATCTGTCTGTTTCGAATTCCTCATTCCTTCAATTTTCCAGCCACTCCACCAATGATAGCCCCAATGTCAGCTCCGATTCCCACAGATCCTGTTCATCGAACTGTCTCTGGTCAGTAGATTCTTTAAACCCTCTTATTGAACTTTTAGATACTTGACGAGTCCAAATTCTGAAATTTCAGCAACTCCCACGCCAACGCAAACACCACGCACACTCTGCAAACTTCCTTGTTTTGGCTTGCGTCCTGTGTACATGTCCAAAGAGCGCACAAAACCAACGGAAGCCCAATTATCGTTTATCAATGGATTGACTAGTGACGGAGGCACCAGCGGTCTTCCATATGTTGCCGATGGGGTGAGTTTCTAAAGTTATTTGAGTCTAAATTTGGAGAAAATCTCATTTCAGACATACTGTGGTTGCTGTGATGAGGATATGACTGGTTGGGATGTGGTTCGCATCGCTTGTCATGTGTTTTCAGACAGTCATGTGAGTGAGAAATTCGTTTTCAGTCAAATTTTCACAAACTTTTTGGGTCTGCAAATATAATTTCGAATTTTCATTTTTTTATAGCTTCGAAAACTTGCCAACCTTGTTTATGTTTGTGATTTTCAACATTGGATCGACATGATTGAACGACGAGGTTTGGCTTCTACTCCTCAAGGTACACCATATCTTTGAAGATTTTTAATTTTCCAGGGGGGTGGGGGGTCCTACCTTAATGACGTGCCTATAAAGTGAATTTTGAGCCCAGTGAGATTAAAACTGAAAAGTTGGAGGCACAGGTTTTTCAACATGCTAAATCGAACTACCGTATTTTCTCTAATAGAAGCTTATGGGTTATCTATTAGAGAAAATACGGTAGTTCAAAATTCCTGAAATTTTGAAACTGTGATTTTAGAACTCAAAAATTTCTCAATTTCTGATTTTTCTAATTTCTAAATGTCGTACGGTAGATGTGATCCATTCTATCCTCAGAACGTTTGACTTTCAGCTGCGAAACCTGGATCAGTATCTGCTCAAACCGTCACACAAAGTTCAATTGAACAACGAACACCACATTGTAATTTTTGGAGAATTGTTGAAACTGCTCGAAAACTAGATGTCTTTGCCAAACTAGAGTTAAACTATCAGACTCATCGACTACTTTTTTCGGGCATTTGAACTTGTTAAAACAAAGTTTCCAAAACATAAACTGTCGAATTTCAGCCGCCTCTGTTGTGAGACCGGACCCACCGATTGTTCGACAAAGTGTAGTTCAACGACCGATACCACAGGGTGAGTTCTCGAGAGATCTGTATGTTTGTCTGTTTGTCTAGATGTCTGTAGATCTAGACAGACAGACAATAGTACAGAATTCTCATTTATTCAAAGATTTTCAAAAGTTTCAGTGGTTCGTACACGCTGCACCCTTCCTCTATATGTCTCATGCCCTACAATAGACCCTACCGGACCATTTAACAGTCAAGTTTCATTCATCAATAGAGTTGCCATTCGAGGAATCGAAGCCACTCGTTCATATGTTGCCGATGGGGTGATTTTGCGAAACAATTATTTCATTTTAGGTTTTGAAATGGTTTCCTTTTGTTTCAGACGTTCTGTGGCTTTTGTAACGTTGACATGACGGGATACAATTTGATTCGAGTCGTCAAACATGCGTTTTCAATCAACCATGTGAGTTAGACGATCTATGAATCCAAGCCATCTACGGTGGTGGCCTAACTTTCTCAACACGGATTTTCTAGACAACCAAAGTTTATGGCCTGGTAATGGTCTAATATACACGCGGTGTGTATTTTAGGCCATTCACCGAAGATTGACTTCTGCATTTTTGGATGTCTAAAGAAAACCTAGTATAAAACATTTTTTGAATCTGTAAAAAATCATATGAATTCTCAATTTTTCCAGCTTCGAAAACTGGACAATCTTCCCCACTTATCTGTTTTCCAACATTGGATAATCATGATTGAACGCAGTGACTTCGTTTTAACACCTCAATTTACATCGTCCCCTCTGCAATTTAAATCGTCCCCTCTGTATACGTTACTCGGATTGAAATCAATGAAAGCAGCGTTGAATGACTTTGATGGTAATCTAGGAAATTGGAAGATTTGGCGGGAATTTGAATTTTTCAGTGTTTTCCAACTTTTCACCAACACAAATGGAACTGATTTCAAATGTGGACATGGCGAAAATTGAACAATGTGCGGAATTGTTGAATGAGGTACTGTACAAAATGAAAACTTAGAAAACAATGATTTTGCAGTTCGGTGGATGTATTTACTGTGAAAAATGGCTTTTGACTGGACGAGAAGTTTTCGAGCACTGGATTCCACAACAGCATTTTTTGAAGGTTGGATTGTCAATAGAGCGAATTTGCAGAATTTCGAATTTTACAGATCCGACAGCAACATCCAGTTAGTCGGCGTCGTATGGATATATTTATGGAATGTGTGGAAATGTGTCAAAAAGAGAAATTGGGGTAAGAAAAAATCGGAATCTCAAGAATCTTAGAACCTTAATAGTTTCACAATCACAGAAAATTCAAATTTTGAAGTTTGAGAATTTCAGAATCTTAAGATATATGCGAAATTTGAAAAATTGGAATTCTTAAAATCATAAAATTTTGAAATATTCGAAATCTCACTATCTCGGAATCCTAGAATCTAAAAATCTCGAAGTTCCAAAACTTAATGATTTCCAATTTTCAGAATTTCAAATTTTCAAATCCTGGAAACCTGAAAACCTTAGAATTTCAAGAACTGCAGAAACTCAATACTTCAGAATTTCGGAACATCGAAAACTTGGAATTTAAAATTTTGGGAAATTTAGAATTTAGGAATTTCAGAATCTAAGAATCTCAACGTTCTCGAAATTCCGGATATCCGCGAAACTCGGAAAGTACATAAAATTCCAGAAAATTCGGAGTTTCAGAATTTAAGACTATCAATTTTTATGAAAAAAAATTTTCAAAAAATTTCAAATTTTCAGATGCATCATCATGTGAAAATAACGTCGTCGATGGTATTCAAAATTTTGCTTCATAATTTTTTTTTTAATTTTTCCTTTTTTTCTGTATTTTCGTAAATATTTTGGGCTCTGCAAATGAATTTTTTATAGAAATTTGTGGACGATTCTTTTTGAGGATTTTTCAAAATGAAAATTTTTCCAGCTTTTCCAGCTCAACTATCTTCATAATGAACTCATGCACGCACATTAAGCTCCATTATCTCGTTTCCCATGAGAGATATCAAAAAGTAGTCAACTGATAAAATGTTTGTCACATTATCAGAAATATTTCACCGATTGACAAATTTTTGATATCTTTTATGGAAATTGAGATAATTGAGCTACTATGAGTAATGTTCTATTAGAACTTTTAAGGCTGTTTGGGTTTTCGCCGAGCTAGCAAAATGTCATTTTCTCTCTTGATTGTTTCAATAACTAAAAAATGTAATATCAGATTTCTCTGACACATATTGGTTCATTTTTTAATCATTTCACTCATGATTGCTTTTGCCAATTTGATTGAAAATGTCAGAGCTAAATTTTAGTCTATTTTTATGGTTTGGCATTCTTTGACATTTCCACTAGTTGCACTTTTACCCAATTATCTCGACTCTTCTAACAGATATCAAAAATTGGTAAACTACTAAAATGTTGCTGATAACGTGACAAATATTTTATCAGTTGACAGATTTTTGATATCTTTTATGGGAGCCGAGATAAATAAGCTAAAGTGTAAGGTACCAGATGTCCCCATAAACTTGTCCAACGGGACATCGGTATAGTGCCATTTCTCTAGTTCTTTTTCCTACACCGCCAGTGTGAGAAGCATCGTGTTAATTTGATTTATGTGATGATGACAGGACAGCGGAGAAGAGAAAAAAACACCATTCAGGTAATTGAGAAGCGGTCGTCGTTCAAAGAAAATTGCTTTAGAACTTCTATTCTCCTTTTCTCTCTCTCTCTCTCTCACTCTCTCTCAATAGAAAAAAAAACATTGATTTATGAATCGACACGAAGACATGACACCCCTCTACTTTCTTCCATTTTCCAATTCACAGAACAACATGAACAACCTTGGGAGGTATTTTTTGTTGTTTTGTCCTTCCCCGATCTCCAAAATAGAATTCTAAGAATCCAGAATTTTCTATTTTGACTATAATTTTTTTCTCTTTTTGTAGGTACATACATTTTTTCGTCTTCCCATATTATACTGCATTTTTCGTATAATCTTAGATTCTTAGATTCTTAGATTCTTAGATTCTTAGATTCTTAGATTCTTAGATTCTTAGATTCTTAGATTCTTAGATTCTTAGATTCTTAGATTCTTAGATTCTTAGATTCTTAGATTCTTAGATTCTTAGATTCTTAGATTCTTAGATTCTTAGATTCTTAGATTCTTAGATTCTTAGATTCTTAGATTCTTAGATTCTTAGATTCTTAGATTCTTAGATTCTTAGATTCTTAGATTCTTAGATTCTTAGATTCTTAGATTCTTAGATTCTTAGATTCTTTTTTTGAGAAAAGATTAAGTATTCTAGAAGAGTCGTTCCTATTTCTCTGGTCCTTTTTTCTGTGTCTTTCCAAAATAACCAAAAATAAAATATAAAAAAGAAAATCTCATCCATCCATCTCTTTTTGCCTATTTAGTCCCTCGATGATTATCCCCCATGGCTCACAGATTCAACACATCGATATATCACTCTCTTTGTCCTGGTCCCAAACACTCTGCGAGCCAAAAAAACTTGATGGGAAGAACGTTTTTTCCATTTTCTCTCTTCTTTTGTTTCGTTTTATTCTTGTTCCATTTCTCTTCCTCTCCTCAGATTCATATTTCATCCTTCCCGATCACTTCTTACACTTTCGGAAACATCTCATATTTCAAATGAAAATATATGAATTGCATTATGTTTTGATACCCTTCACCAAGACGATTTTTATGATCATCGTTAACTTTCAGCTCAATTATCTCGGCTCCCATTAAAGATATCAAGAATATGTTAACTGATAAAATGTTGGTGATAATATGATAAATATTTTATTAGTTGACAACTTTTTGATAACTCTCATAGGAGTTGAGATAATCAAACGCAAGCATGTGGAGCACTCTGGAACGTCGCCTTCTACTGATGCTTCTGGAACCCCGAGCCTTCCAAGTAGCATATCTCCGCTGGATAAATTTTCACAAGAATCTAATCAACTACAAAAATTAAACTCTATTTTTGTTGTATATCCTCTAAAATTTTCAAAAAATTCAAGCTAAGCTCCAAAAGCTCCAAAATTGCCTGTTTGGCTGAGCCACGCGGTCGCAGGCGACGCTTGCCGGGGTACGATATCACTGTACACCACCACGCAAAAATACATACTGAGCTTTCTGAATTAATTAGCCCCGAAATTTATTAAAACATCCCCAATCTACCCCCTTGCTCCTCCTAATTGTCATTGTGTACATCTTCTTCTTGTCCTCCTTCGCGCAAATAAACGAACACATGTTCTCAAGAATCTATTCGGTTGTGATGGTCCCAAAGACTATTTCATTGTCTATTCTAACATATGTGAGTCTCTAGGAGGTGTTAGAGGCAATCCTCTTCTAATTAGATGGGTGTAGCATATGAACGGAGCTAATCTCTACCCAAGGGTCATAAGGAGGCCAAATGTTGCCAATCGGGGACACGTAAAGATAGTATCTGATGAGAAATGACATGTGCGGAGCGATGTTATGATTGATGAGAGCTCTTTATCTTCATCTGAAAATGAGGAACGCCACTCGAACGCGTGGCTCACCAGCGCCTTGCGATTTGAGCTCAAATATCTCGGTTCCCATAAAAGGTATCAACAAGTTGTAAAATAATAAAATGAAGAGGATAATATGACAAACATTTTATCAGTTAATAAATTTTTAATAACTTCTACAGCAACTAAGATAATTGAGCACAAAGTGCAAGCATTGTGGTGGCGCATCCAGACCGCGTCACCAGTGGCGCGCGCTTTGGGCTTAATTATCTCGGTTCCTAAAAAAGATATCAAAAAGCTGTAAACCAATAAAATGTGGAGGATAATATGACAAACATTTTACCAATTGACAGATTTTTGATATCTCGCATAGCAACCCAGATAATTGAGCTACGCTGTCGTACCCCTGCTCATTAGAATACGGTATCTTCGGTTAGCTTCTCAAGACTATCCTAATCTCCCTCTATCAAATCGCCTCAATATGTTGCTCTCGAACCATCCCTCTCATCGGAGCGCATCTTCCGCCAAAAGACCGAGCCAATAGGAAATGAGCCCCCGTGGTGATGGTGGTGTCGAGTGTATGTATGTGCTCCACCCGCCAAAATTTATGACCCCTCTTCCGCTCCTCGTCTTCTCGATAATAGGCTTGTTCTTCTTCTTCTCCTTCTTCACCACCATTAACCAGATGAATGTGTTGTTTTTGGGGTCGTGTACATTCTCTCCATCTGACGTCTTCCAAATTCTTAAGCAAACAGGGACCATGACGAGCTCTCATGTTTCCCAGTTTTACGTAACTTTTTTCCCTACCAATTATGATGTGCAGGTGTTCGTGGATAGAGTGGCGTATAGGGTGAAGTACAATGTTTGCTATATAGGGTAGAGAAGGGAAGGGATATGTAAATCTGAGCAAATAAGACCCAGGGCAGATCTCCCTATCAGCTAGGGTCAAAGGCTAATCGGATCTAGGTCTATGGATCCATATATAACAAGCTTTAAGGTCCATAAGGTACGCTTGTGACGTCAATAGGACCGGACCCACCAAGTTGGTGGTACCAACTCACTTCCGTTACCTGTGACGTCATATTTTCCCTATTTACTCTCCATTGTTACAGTACTATGACGTCGCTACAAGTGTGTCAATTACCATTACATCACTCGGTTACCAGCTGCGGGCCTGCCTTAATTAGTTGTTGAATGGAGAGCACACCTGCTGCTGCTTTGTGATGGATACCGACATATTATGAGCTCAAACTGAAGCCTGAGGAGAACTAATTGGCATAATTGGCTTAGGGACTTTGAAGGCTAGAATCTGGGATTACTGTAGAACAAGGACTTGTAGTTTTTGTACTATTTTTTGTCCTCCTTTGAAGGTTTGCCTCTGAGGGCTTCCATAGCCTTTTATAGGTAGCAATAATGTCCTGCCCTCTAATGTTTTATTTCACTTGGTCAATAAATTAAATTAAATTAAATAGTGTCTGAAACCTTCCAAATTGGTCTAAACCGTTCTAGGGGTATCGGTATCTTGAGATAAAGAAGCTGCAGAAATGAGTCGGCATAGTTGTCAACCGGACCGACGAAAGCCAATTACGGAAAGGCTCATAACTCGGCTCAAACTTGGAATTTCTTTCCAAATCAAAATTTGAAATGTAGATCTTAAAGAGATCTACAAAATGATATTAAATTCCACTATATTAGAATGCCGAGTTTTGAACCACAAGCCGAAAAGAAGCGGGCCGGCGTACTAGTTCAAAAAACGGCATACGGGTTCAACGACCTCTGTTTCAAAACTTAGATTTCAAACAATTTCAAATTTATCATCATTTTGTAGCCCTTGTCGAGCTCTACATTTTACTTTTTGATTCAAACTGAAATTCCAAGTTTGAACCGAGTTATAAGCCGGCCAATAGGTTGTTGCTAACCAACGAATCGATATTGCATAGATTCCGTGTCGTAACTTTCTTCAAACTTGGTACTTTTGAACGAGCTAAAAATTCAAATATAGCTCTTGAAAAGTTCTAAAAATGGTGTATAACTTCATTACGATAGTTAATTGGACTACAACACAGGAGAAATTCCAATTTTGAGTAAGGCCCTCTTATTCATCAAATTCTAAAAAGACCGTACTTATCATCCATCTTACCTTCAATTTCCCGTTTGTTGACTAATTACGGGGGTCATAATTCCTTATGTCACCCTTTGAAGGGACACCGCATAAGTGGAGAGGGAAAGGTTACATAAGAATCGGAACACATGGGTGTGACGTAACCTGTGGGAGAAGTGTGGAAGGTTCTGGAGATTTAAAAATTGA